TAATTTTTGATTTATTGTAGTGATGAGGTCTCGTCAAGTTGCCCAGGTGGGTCTCGAACCTGCGGGCTCAGGCAATCCCCTCGCCTCAGCCTCCCAAAGTGCTGGGATTACAGGCTGAGCCACTGAGCCCGGGCCATTTTGTTATTTTACACTCTATTTTTATTACTATATTCTTACCACTGTTAAGAATCTTCCACTTTGGGAGTCAGAGGCAGGAGGATTGCTTGAAGTTCAAGACCAGCGTGGGCAGTGTAGCGAGACCCTATCTCAACAACTTTTTTTGTTTTTGTTTTTGAGTTGGAGTCTCACTCTGTTGCCCAGGTTGGAGTGCAGTGGTGCGCTCATGGCCACCCCAGCATGAACCTGCTGGACTCAGGTTACTCTTCTGCCTCAGCCTTCCAATTAACTAGAGCTACAGGCATATGCCATCATGCCTGGCTAATTTTTCTTGATTTGTTGTAGAAATGAGGTCTCTCTATGTTGCCCAGGCTGGTCTTGAACTCGTGGACTCAGACAGTCCTCTCACCTCAGCCTCCCAAAGTGCTAGGATTATAGGTGTGAGTCATCGTGCACGGCCTTCAACAAAACATTTTTTAAAAATTAACCAGGTGTGGTGGCATGTACTTGTAGTTCCAGCTACTTAGAGGCTAAGGTGGGAGCCCAGGAGTTCGAGGCTTCAGTGAGCTATGATCGCGTCACTGCATTCCAGCCTGGGTGACAGAGCAAAGCCCCCCCCCCCGCAAAAAAAGAAAGAGGAATCCTCATGTACTTTATTATCCTCTCGGACAAGACCAAAATTGCCAAACATCACTGATGTTTTTTGCATTTGTGTTACGATTCTAACTGTGGTTAATATGCTTATATAAGGAATGAAGTTTTTCTCATAAACTAGGGTAAAACAAGTCATATGTGACAGAGTTTCTGTGAGATAGATCCAGGTACCCAGGAGTAATAACAACAAGGACAGTGAAATTTCCAGAATGCTTACTGTGTGTTTAGACTGTTTTAGCACCTTAAAGGTTGTTTGCTCACTCCTTCCAATAGCCCTGGGAGGTAGCTACTATAATTATCACAGCTTACAGTTGAGGAACACGAGACCCAGAGAGGTCCAATGTCCTCCCCAAGACTGCACAGTGAGTAACTGGTAATAAAACCTGGATTTGAACACAGGATATAACATGAGTCCAGTCCAAGCTCCTAACCTCTAAGCTTCTCATGATAATTAACAGGCTATAGTCATCACATCACCAATGTTGTGACCCTGCATTTATCAATGTCATGTTGATACATTAGTAAAGAGGGTGGGCATTCCACTTTCTCATCTGTAGAATGGTCACAGGCCCGCCTTCCTGCTTTTGTTGGGAGACTCAGATGAGGAAGCTCTGGACACAAGCCCCCAGCAGAGAGTTATAGCCCAGCAAACATACCTCACAAATTCATGGAATCTGGCAATGGTGCCCCAAAAGACAGGGTGAAACTGAATGCCAGAAGAAGGGACTGAGCAGCACCATTCCTGATGCCTGGTAAGTGAATGGCAGTTGCTTTTTTCCTCCCTACCCCTGACACCGCCCTCCCTGCCTGCAGGAAGACACGACATGTCAACATCTTGCTGTTTATGGGCTTCATGACCCGGCCGGGATTTGCCATCATCACACAGTGGTGTGAGGGCTCCAGTCTCTACCACCACCTGCACGTGGCCGACACACGCTTCGATATGGTCCAGCTCATTGACGTGGCCCGGCAGACTGCCCAGGGCATGGAGTGAGCCTCTTGCCCTGGGGAGGTGGTGGGGGGAGGTGAAAGGGGTGGGGGAGATAAGGGAGCCCCAGCCAATTTGCCACCTGCCTCCACCCCCACAGCTACCTCCATGCCAAGAACATCATCCACCGAGATCTCAAGTCTAACAGTATCTACCTGTCCTTGGGCTGAGATTGGGGTGGGGGCATCAAACAGGGTGAGGACATAGAGGGATGGCTCTTGTAGGGGTATTCTGGGGAAGAAGAGGGAGGGTTACGTGTCACAGGGCTCCTTGCCAGGTGGCAGAGGTATCACTGGTGAGGGTGCTTTAATGGGGGTCTCTTGGTCAGGAGCCAATGGTGTGGCTGGTTCAGTGCCATTTTGAGGGGACTCTGGCCAAGATCTGAGTTATGGTAGTTTTGAAGGGCATTATGGTCGTCGTCAGAGGCCTAATGAGTTTGGGTGCCACCAGAGGGGCTTCCTGGTCAGGAGTCACTGTGGGGCCAAGTGTGGAGGGCATTAGTTGGAGTTCCCCTCCGAAGTCAGGGTGTGGATAGTTGGTGTGACACTGGAAAGCTTCTGGTCAGGGTAGAGGCAGGACTGGTGCGGGGAATTAATGGGAACTTCCCAGTCAAGGTGAGAGGTGTGGCTATTGGTAGTCCCTGTAGTGGTCCTTGACCCCAGTGGACATCTTCCTACATGAGGGGCTCACAGTGAAGATTGGTGACTTTGGCCTGGCCACAGTGAAAACGCGCTGGAGTGGGGCCCAGCCCTTGGAGCAGCCCTCAGGCTCTGTGTTATGGATGGTGAGTTGGGCCAGGCTGGATGGGGGACACATGTAGACATGGGTTCCTGGATTGGGATGTGCAGGGCCGAGTAGGGATGGGGATGCCTGTGTCTGGCGTGGGTGTCTGGACTACTCACTACTCACCTCGTGTGGGTGGCTTCAAGCTGTACCCAGTGTGGCCAGTGGGATTGGGACTACGGGCCAGCCATTTGCTGACCTCCATGGTCCCCCTGTCTGGTCTGACCTATTGAAGGCGGCTGAAGTGATCCGTATGCAGGACCCAAACCCCTACAGCTTCCAGTCGGATGTCTATGCCTATGGGGTTGTGCTGTATGAGCTCATGACCGGCTCGCTGCCTTATAGCCACATTGGCAGCCGTGACCAGGTGAGCCCCATGCCTTACCCACAATTCCCAAGGCTGAGGGATTCCTTCAGGCCAGATTCTCTCTTTGTACAGACAAATGCCACACTTCTCTCAAAAAGCCTAACAATTTTTGGGATATGGACTCCCAGAATCCCCTGGGCTCCAGACACCTTTAATCATTCCTCTGGGTTTCCCCTTCCCTTCTTTCTGTCTTCTCCCCTTCTTCCCCCACAATCCTCTGGGACAAAAATCATCAAAGTCCAGAACCCCCTTCCAGGCCCCCAAACACCCAGAAGCTCTCTGGCCCCCTAGACAACTACAGTCTTCTGGATACTCAAAATCCCCCAAATCCTCAAGTCCCCGAATCTCATTTCTCACAGAAACAGTCCTGTTGTGCTTCCAGAATACTCATAGATATTCAATCACCCAAGACCTTGGGTATTCAGCAGGCTTCAGGGCCTTGGCACCCATAATACTCTAGGCTCTAGACCTCCACAGAAATGCAAGTTCCTTCCAGACCCAGAACTCCATGTTTCCCCAAGACTCAGTACTTTCTGGACTCCCAAGCCCCTAAGAAACCTGTAGACCCATAATCTTTGGGGCCCTAGGCATCTATAATCTTTGATAACCCTAAATTTAAATCTTTCTGTTCTTCAAGCAGATAATCTTCCCAAGTCCTCAGAGGCTGAAAATCTTCTGGGCCCCAATACTCAGACTATCCCAGTTCCCCCAAAATTAGCCTCCCGGTTCCCTTGAGACTGAGAATTGGCTGAGCTCTGGACTCCAGGTCACCCTTTTCCTGCCCCCCCCGACCCCCCCCAGATTATCTTTATGGTGGGCCGTGGCTATCTGTCCCCGGACCTCAGCAAAATCTCCAGCAACTGCCCCAAGGCCATGCGACGCCTGCTGTCTGACTGCCTCAAGTTCCAGCGAGAGGAGCGGCCCCTCTTCCCCCAGGTGGGCTGGGTAGGAGGACTGGACACTTGGGTGGGGGACTCTGGCAAAGATCAGAGGTGTAGTGTGTGTGTGTGTGTGTGTGTGTGTGTGTGTGTGTGTGTGTGTGTTTCCCCATTAGGCTGGGGTCTGGGGGTATTGGGATGCTGTGGGGCTCTGGACACCCCTCCTCATCCCCACCTGCCCCCAGATCCTGGCCACAATTGAGCTGCTGCAACGGTCACTCCCCAAGATTGAGCGGAGTGCCTCTGAACCCTCCTTGCACCGCACCCAGGCTGACGAGTTGCCTGCCTGCCTACTCAGCGCAGCCCGCCTTGTGCCTTAGGCCCCACCCCCAGCCATTTGGGAGCCAATCTCAGCCCGCAATGGCAAGGATCTTTGCCCACCAACCAATCAATGTTCCGTCTTTGCCCTGATACTGCCTCAGGATTCCCTCATCCCCCACCCTGGGAGATGAGGGGGTCCCCGTATGCTTTTCCAGTTCTTCTGGAATTGGGGGACCCTCAAAGACTGAGCCCCCTGCCCCCTCCATTATTTGGTTTCCTCTTGGGTTTGGGGATTCTTCTAAATTTGGGGAGCTCCTCCATCTCCAATGGCTGGGATTTATGGCAGGTATTCCACTCTGAACCTCTCTGGAATTTGTGCCTGAAGTGCCTTCCACTGGATTTTGGGGTTCCCAGCACCCCATGTAGATTGGGGGGTCCCTTTTGTGTCTCCCGCCATTCAAGGACTCTCCTCTTTCTTCACCAAGAAGCACAGAATTCTGCTGGGCCTTTGCTTGTTTATTTTGTTTCCCGACTCTTCTCTTGGGGTTCAGAGCCGCTGAGGGGTGGGAGTGAATCCAGGCAAGGAGTGGATGTTGGGGGGAGGTGCGGACCACATAAACAGCGTCACTGCACGCATCACCACAGGCGGCACGATGAACGAGGACCACATATGCCAAGCACGGCACAAGAGGAGGCCACGTCAGTCACAGACACAGACATCACGGCAAAGGTGGGGAAGCAGGAGACCACTGGCCTTCCCTGTGCAAAGGATTCTGGGAAGATGGGTGGAGTTTGCATATTTAAAGACAGCTGTCAGAGGCAGGAAACTGGGGAGGGGGTCCCTGGGGGAACCTAGGGGTCCTGGAAGTGGGAAGAGCTCCCAAGGTATTAAATGGGGTTGAGGGGAGTGGGTGAAGGGAAATCCTTGTGGGGCTGGGTGGTGGGTGGCGTTTGAAGATGTGGATCTCCAGAGAGATGGGAGATCCATAGGAAGGGGCTCAAAAGTAGGGGTTTCTTCAGGATATGGGAAATTTGATGGTGAACAAGGTGTGCTGGAAAGATTCAGGACCAGGAATAGGGTTTTCCAGGAACTTCAGGGCTCCAGGAGGGGCATCTGGTGTCAGGACCAGAAATGGGTTGCCTGGTATTTGGGAGCTTCCAGGAAGGGAAACTAGGAATTTGGAGGTTCTAAAACTGAGAAGTAGGTCTTGAGGTGATCACGAGTGGGTTTCTAAAAGGACTTGGGGATCCCAAACGTGAGAACTGAATTCAGGGCCAGGAGTGAGGTTTCTCAAGGGACCTGGGGGTCTTGAGGAATGAGAAGTGGGATCTTGGAGAACCAGGACAGGGGTTCTCAAGGGATTTGGAGATTCCAAAAGTGAGAAATGGATTCAGGGCCCAGAGAAGGGTTGCCCAGGGATTTTGGGGTTCTCAGGGTAGGGTGTCAGTCGGAGAAGAGGCTGGCGAAAGACTTCCTCAGGCTGCGGATGGTCTCAGCTTTCACCTCGTCCTGGCTAAGGCTGGGCCTGGGCGGGGCTGGCTCTGGAAGGTTGAAGGCATTGGTCAGAGACTGGGATTTGCTAGAGAGAGACAAGGTGGAGGCATGGGAGGAAGGGGGGAAGAGGAAGGGGAGGAAGGGGAGAGAAACACAATGTTACCCCAGGCCCGGCCCCAGCCCTGCCCCTCTGATCCTGGGGCTGTGCCTGTGACCTTCCCACCCACCACCATGGGCCTGGACCCTAGCAGGTTCTCAAGGCTGGGAGGACTCAGACCAAGCGGGTGGAGTCCTAGGCCAGGGAAGAGGGATCTGGGACAGACTGGGAAGACTTTGATCCAGGAGGAAGAAGTATGAGCTTAATGGGAAGAGTTTTGGGCGGAATCTTCTCTTGGAATCCTAGGCTAGTTTGATACAAAGGGGAAGATGAGCAGGGGGGCCTGCGGTCTGAGGGTGAGGAGTCTAGGAGGGTGTGGGATGGGGCTTAGACCAAAGGCAGGCTGGTGGGGGGTACCTCAGCCTAGTGGGCAGTAGCTGGGCGGGGCACTTCTGAGTTGGGGGGCTGTGGGGGTTGGAATGAGCCAGAAGAGGCAGGGAGGACTGTGTGATGATTTGGGAGGAGACAGCCCCAAGAGGATTTGGGGATGGACCAGAATGGAGCTCAGCCTGTTTGGAAAACTATAAGGATGGAGTGGGGAGAAAGCAGTGATAGGAGGACGACGCCGACTGTATTAGGAATGGGTTGGGAGGAGGGCAATTGTGGCAGGGAAGGCTCCGAGATGGGCAGGGCGGACTGAAGGTGGGTCAGCACAGTGCCTGGGGTGGCTGGAGAGGCCCCGGAGGAGACTCCCAGGGCCTAAGGGAAGGAATCTGAACAGAATGTGGAGTTTCTCTGGGATTCTGGCACCTAATTCCTGGGATGGAGAGCAGAGCCTCAGGCTGGAGTGAGTTATCGGACCGCTGGCTAGGACCTGGGTCTCACTCGGGAGCATGGGAGCTGGGGTCTCCCTAGGGGCAGCAGGGTCCCGCTCTGTGAGCAGCAAGCAAGGGCTGCTGTAGGGGTCCTCTTACTTGAGCTGGGGGTGCGGAGGTCCCCCGGCAGCAGCGGTGGCGGGTGGTGGCACGTCCTGGCTGGGTTTCTGGGCCAGCTGTGGCTTGGTGGGACGTCCAGCGGGGCCTGGGCCGCTAGGTCGAGGCTGCTGCGTGGTGGGTGGCCCAGTGCGGGGCACAGGA